CGTCAGCTCTGCGGAAGCTACTTCGGGTTTCGCGTTGCATGTTCCCGTCTTACAAAAGCATTGCTCTTTCTCAGCATGATGAATTCCTGCAGCATGTATCATCTACCGTTTTTGCATGTTGTTGTCAGGAAGAAAAGTTTGTTGGGGGTGATTGATGCTTCACGCAAGCCCCAGCGACCAAAAAGGGACGAAGACAGTCTGGGGTCGGCTCAATACGGGGGGTCTCTTGACTCGACAGTGTCTATTGCTCCACAAGCATCAAATTAGTGTCACAAACCCGAAGCACGGGTCAGAAACCCTGTGTTTGAAGGCTTGGGCTCATATTACCCCTGACAAGCCATGTGTATGTTCTACAGATGAAAAGTTATATATTATACAGCTATATATCACCCACTCTCTGAGTGCAGTGCTACATGGATTGGGCCCTGGGTGATGTTGGGATGGATGGAATGTCCGAAAAGAGTGCCACTGGGATTGATGAGTTCTAAAGCTGGAGAATTGATCCTCTTCCAACAAACATCATCAAACATCTACATCTACAGTGTCTACATCAGTCTACATCAGCCTACAGCATATACTTCCTGTACAAACCGGGGGGTTGTCCACTTCCATGATTGTTGGGAGGGAGAGGTAAACGTCTCTACCCATCACCAAAAATTGCCTGGTTCACCGCAGCGCCACCCCAATGGCCGCCTGGCACGCGCCACGCAGCACGCGCCACACAGAGATCACAGGAGGGAGTGTCTCATGTTGATTGATGCAAAGAGGTTACTTTGAGCTCATGGCTCAAAGGTAGAGACAAATCACTCAGGTGCATCCACTCCACGCTTTGACAACTTTGGGCCTCCATCCTGGCGAAGATCGTGAGAAGCCAACCTCGTCGTGCAGCGAGAAGACTCGTGTTTCGGTGGAAGAAAACTCACACAGGGTATCGGTCCGTTGTGCGTCCGATAGCTTCAAAAACGATATGGCACGATGGATGACTGAAGGGTCAGGATGGAAAAAAACGGACCAGTTGAGAAGGCAGGAGCCACCGAACCCTTCAACGCCAATTCTTCACACAAAGTCAGACTGCAAGTCAGACCAGTGCAAGGTTTCTGACTGCTTCTGTGCCCAACGGATGGCTGCAGCACGCAGGAGTCTGCATGACTCGCGAACGCAGACTGACTTTGGAGACCAAGGAGGGATCGGACGCTACGAACGGGGCTCCTGGCATCGCTACTAGGAGCAAGAAGCTACTAGGAACCCAGGCATCGCTACTAGGAATCCCTTGGAATCCGGCGTGGGCGCATCAGGCATCGATGCCGGCCGTCGACCTCCAACCTGGTCCAGGGCGGATCCAAAGTCTGGGAGAATGACTGGGTGCTGTGGTGCGTTTGGTGATACGTTCTAATCCAAATCCACAGAGCTTGGATGCGACGCGACCTCAACGCTGACTGGATTGCCTGCCGCAAGCTCAGTGGCTCTCTTCGTCCTGCATGAATGCAAAGGAGGTTGTCATCGTACAACCACGAGCATGGGCAGTGCTAAGAACACGGCAAGCAAAGGTGAAGTGCAAAGGCTGCTTGACTGTCAACCCTTAGTTTTGCTTCCGTAGATTGACATTCACTCAAGCGCGTGTTGATGCGTAAACAGGGTGTCTTCGACAAATCTCAGTATCCATCCATTTCTCCTTCATGAAAGCTGAACAGGAGACACAGAAAACCACATCGCTGTGCGGGTTCAGACTTGAGCTAGGGATGTTGAGGTGCAGATTGACGGACCGCAGGTTGTGTGTGTGGTGTACTCTGGTGATCTCTGGTGTACTGTATCAGTTTGGGGAACCCCTAAACTGAGCGTGTGGAGCTATAGAGCTTGAGTGACATAACTGAGCTTGTCCATGAGTGGCATAATATTGAACGTATACTAGTATTTACACATACAAGTGCTGTATAATTCTACTGCATGTCATTTAGCCGAGCCTGAAAGACAACCATCCTGCGGCTCCGACGGGCCTCCGATCGGACCTCCATCTTTGCGGCCCAAGGCCAAGCGCCTCACCTCGGATTCGGCAAGCTTCACGCAGCTCGACAACCTCCACTGGAGGTGGAGGTCAAGTTTATCAAGCTCCAACTCCAACTAACTCATTCTGTGTCATCATCCCCAACTCCACCGGGGTCTTTCATCCCCCTATAAGCTCTTCACCGCCCACCTCCAGTTTCCGAGTCCCGAGGATCCGTGCACCCCGATCCAAATCTTTCGGTTCCTCACGCGCCAAGAGCCTCAGAACCCGCGGCTCGGCGCAGCGGCTCGGCCGTTCGCCGCGCCGTTCGCGGAGAGGCTCGCCGCGCCGTGATCAGATGCGGAATGGGTGGACCGAAGAAGTCGAAGGTGCCAGGTGAGACGAAAGGGTGATCCTCCTTCAACCGGAGATGAGTCTGGTGCTTGGCCTTTCATTGTTCAAGAAGTTGTGCAATGATCTCAGATTGGAGATGATGTGCAATCATCTGCTGGCACCCGAGGTGTCTGAGCTCCTGACAATTGGTTGCTGTCGTGGTCAGGGCTCTCCTGTAAATATCTTAGGGAGGCCAACCAAGATGAAAGCAGCTCAATCATGTAACAGCGCTCCGAAACACTGCAAAACAGCAGAAGTATCATGAGAACTTTCAGCACCGAATGCAAAGACCAAAGGCCACCCACTGCGGCGTTTTCAAGAACGAACCATCGCACAGTCGTCGTTGCGTGAACCCAAAACATCTTCCGTCGGTCGTTGACTCTTCGAGCAGTTGGTCGACAGCCTACACCGTAAACAGAAACCAAGACCAGAAACCAAGGGACTCGTCCTGCCCAGTTGGGCAAACCCCTCTGACAACGGGAGGCTAGTAGCTTCCTAGTAGCTTCTTGTTACGTTCGTAGCGATGGCCTCCAACCTACTTGCGATGGCCTCCACCGAGCATAGCACCCTTGTATGTTCGGAGGCTCTTACTTCTTGAACTTTCTTAGACCAAACAAGTTCGCCTCCTCATCCCATTCGTTGCTTCGGCCTCAAACTCAGATTCCGCCGTGGCTGGCGACACCCATGCAACGCTTTGAGACAGCAACTTTCACATACTGTGTGTTTTTTTTTTAAACAAAGGAAAGCTGGCGGTAGGCCACCCCTGATAAAGGACCATCAGCTTCGGCAGCACCTTTTGGCACATTCCAAAATAAGCAATGCGTAAATATGGCTGGTGACTTCCCTTGAAACATCAACACTGGACGGCAAAACTAAAGCGTGCCAACGAGGTTCAAAAGTCAGGAGCCACCCACGCCATGAGGGTTCAAGGGAATCTTCGTGCAGGTTCTAATTATTGAATTATTGACTACATGCCAGACATGTCAGTGGCTTGATGAAATCAATCCCGCTCGCTGCACGTCAGAATCCCTTGAAATACTTGTAAATATTGGCTCCAAAGCATGGGATCTGAGATATACTTTTGACACTCAATAGCTCCATATCTTGAGCGGCTATGAGCGGAGTGAAGCCCTGCATGTTTGCATGCTGCCTGCCTGATGTTGTCTGTGTAAATACAAAAACAAAAAACAGCTGCAGTCGAGCTCTCAATGATAATACAAATCTGAGGGAGACATTCACTCAATTGAATTTGACAAAACATGCGAAAATAGTTATTTGTCACTGGAATCCAAGCATTTCTGCATGGATATGGATCAGGCCCAGTACCAAAGCGACGTAGGCTTGCTCACTGCAAGGTGGCGTTGAAAGTGAGACCGGACACCGACCCGGTTGCAGAGTTGTTGGATGTTGTTGGATTGGTGTTGTGCTCATAATTAGATCGTTAAGAATCAGTTTTATATTGATCACTCCTGTTGCTTCAGCTCTCTCTTCAGCTTGCCGCTCGCCTGCTCCTCTTGCTTCTTCTTGGGGCCACCACACGCCCATCGAGGATTCAGGTGCAGCAGCATCTGCGGCGACGCGGAGCGGCCGACAGACGAGTCGCCCGCGCGACGGCAGAGTCTGACTCGGAGTCGCCCGAGACTGAAGGAATAGAAAGAAAACTTGAATAGCAGGGACATACTGATGCTTGAAACATGTTGAAACAAAAACTTGGATGACATACTGAAGCAAATCGTACACTCATGCACAACAACTGCCTGGTCGCTGAAGGCTAGGGCCACCAAAGACCGCAGCTTGTCAACATCTCCTGTCACTCAAACTGCCAGCTCCTGTCCTACTGTACCCTGCCCTGCTGAATACAAACGGAGACTTGGATTCCCTTGACATGATTTCAACCACAAAAAACATGAATCCATGCCCATGGAATCCAAGCTTGTAGGATGTTACGGATATTCCCAGCCATCGTAGATGCTGCCGACCAAAACGCGACAGCCCAGCCCGCCGCCCGTCCGGGTGACCGGAGGGGTCCTGTAAAAATGCGCTCGACCCGTCCGCGACCAGTGACGCGAAGCAGATCCTTAGCATGAAGCTGCATGTACCAAACATCTTGAACAGCAGTTTGTGAAAAAATCTGCCAAAGCAACACAACAATACCTTCAGTCACACTAGTAGCAATCACTTTCAAAGTTGCGCCCATCTTATTACTTTTTCCAATCACCCGTGCAACCACAATGACCTCTCAACGAGCACCGAAGCAGAGACAGCAAGAAAGCAGCGAAAAAGGCACTTCTTTTCGCAGCAAGCCAGCGACTCGACTCTTTGATCTGCACCCATCTGCCCTCGAGACAAGGCTTCGTTGCAGGCATTTGGCATGGAAGCCCCAAGGTCCACACTTCCCAGTATTTCTAGGAAAGTGAACTCCAGGTTCAACAGCCAGCGATGGAAATCACGGCCACAAGGAATACTGGAAGGCATTGGTTGGTGGCTTTTCAATAAACAAAGAGGTGCACTAGGTAGGCTGCAACAGCATTGGCCTGCGACACTATTTGGGCCCCCCTAGTGAGAGACTCCATCTGGATGGATTCTCTTCAGCTGCTGCTGATTGGATTCGCTGAGCGATTCAGCTTCATTGGCAACAAAGGCGTCTTGATGGAGGTTTTCCATCTCCGGCTCCGTTGGTTGACCCCACGTTCGTGGTCACTTGAAGACCTCGTTGCTGGGGTACAAATGGCTCGTCCGGAAGTAGCTCAGCAACACCCTCCTGGAAGCAGTGGAACAGTACCACTAAGTATATCAATGCACAGACAGAGATGCACAGAGTGGTGTTCAAAATATGTCAATTGTCCCCAATCTGAACGAAAGGCTTTCGGCATCTGCAATTTGCACTTGCCAAGCTTCGAATAGTCTGAGCACATTCTTGCCACTCATGGCTGAAGTGTCCAGCAAGAACCTCAGGTATCAGTATCCGTATCTGCAAAAGTTTGGATGTTGCTGCGAGCGCTCTATACTGTACCACAAGGCAATCTTGTTGAAAGACACTTCTTCTTGAATATGCGAGACACCATAAAAGCCTAAACAACAGCTTCGCATGGTGCAAAACAAAGGTGCAAAGCCAGAGCCCTGAAATCAGCCTTGGAGATCTTGTCGATATCCCGTTCAGTGCCACCACTGCTTCACCGGTTTCCAAGTCATATTGTCTGCTTAGGCTTGTTCTTGGCAAGGGACAAACCTTCTTGCTGCGCAAAGGCTTCTGCCTTTTCCCACGGCACTTGTCGCTTATCTTCCATGTCGGCCTGGCGCAGGTCATCACAAACTCTCCAAAAAGGTGGCACAACACCTGCGCCGCGGCCCGGAAATCGTCACCCCCAAGTAACTCACTAATCCAACGGACCAACCTTGCGCGAGGGTGCAGCAGCAAGTGGCTTGAAATATGGCACTGCCCGCTTGCTAGTTGTAGAATTATGTTGTACAGATTAGGACCGTATCATTCTTTGCCATTGTATACTTACTGCCACGGCCACTACTACCTACCTACGCTGCCGCTACTATTTACCACAGCTTCCATGATGGATTCCCTTGCCACTCCCACTGCAGCTTGGTCTGATGGCCTCTGATGGGTGATGGCAAACTCCGTGTGGAGTTTCAAAGCAAATCACTGTACTGTAGGGATCCCCAATGGTATTCAAAAAAGGGTCCTTCCATCCTTCCTCTGCTTCTAGGACTATGACTCGAATCGGAATGATTCGCTGTTCTGTACCAATGCACGCTTACTGTAGGTTGTGTTCCGCATTCTTGAATCAGGATGGCCTTGTTGGCTGCCAGGGCGATGACGATGTTGGGATTGGTACTGGTGGACATGACCTGCGGTTGTTCGGACAGTTGAACCAAGAAGTCCACATCTTCCAGCAAATCACAGGAAGATGGCTCGGCAGCGGTATGGCTCTGCATTAAAGGATTTGGATGGCAAACAAAAATCTGCTTTAAAAAAGTAAAAAAACCATCTCTGCGGGGTGAGACTGTGAGACGTCTTGATTTCCTGGTATGAGCTCAGTGGGGTATCTACCATTGGAATGTCGAGGCCATTCCAACACTTGAAATCACATGTTTCGCTCTCTCGCTCTGCCTGCCGCACCCACTCTTGTGCCCGCTCGAAGGTCACTGCATTGGTTTGGTCGTAGACGACCACCGCTGCAGATGCCCCCCTGGGCCAAAACGGCGAAACCGAAAGCGAAACCGACTGCGGACAATGTCTGCTGCGTCTGCTGTTGCCCAACTTGACCACATCCAACAAGACCTCTCTGGCCCACAACAAACCCACAACATGGGGCTGCTTTGTTGACCACAACCACGTGATGGCGCACATTCCAATGGGTCCCAATGGCCGATATACTGTGTTAGCATGTGCCTTGTTGGGGATACCATGGGATACCACGTTTCTCGATGTTTTTAGCTGCAAAGAGTCTTGTTCAAAACCCCAAAAAGAAACGTGCAACGGAAGCAAACAGGCGCCTGTAGTACATGGGTGCTAGGCTGCGAAATCGTTCTTGCCCAGCGGTGTCCCAGATTTCGAACTTCACCTTGCATGATCAAAAGGTTTGGAGGCGACTCTTCCCCATGAGCAAGTCGCCTCATTGCGGGTTTGTCAACATTGCTTCGTCGTCTTACAAATACACAGGATGTCGTCCTGACTCCTTTAAATCCACAGATCCAATGGTGCCTTCATCATCTCCACCAAAGGTCCCCTTGTCACGTTCATTGATCCACTGGGTCCCCTGTTTTCAAAACATCTCAAGACTTGAAGGTCCAGGCTGACAAGCATTGGTGGGATCATGTCATCATCACTTCACCGAGAACATCTCTTGACATTCAGAAGACTTTCTTGAGAACGGCACCCGGATCATTTTGGAACCTCAAAACGGATCATTTTGGAACACAGAGGAACAGAAAGCTCTCCAGGACCGCAGTCTGACACCAGTTTCGCGGATCATTTTGGAACACACATCCTTCGGTAGTGCTTTGAAGGCATCATTTGTTAGTCAAAAATGCGCGTTTCGTACGAGACTTCCTCCAAAAGTGAGCCGTGCAAGTTTGCAAAACGAGCGTTTCGTATGAGACTTCCTCCAAAAGGAAGCCGCGCAATGCTCCAAAACGAGCGTTTCGCGCAAGACTTCCTCCAAAAGTGAGCCACACAAGTCTTCCAAATGAGCGTTTAGGAGTTTAGGAGTTTCCTCTAAAATCTAAAAAATAAGTGATCCACGCAGATCCACGCAAGCCTTCATCAAACAAGCGTGTCGTCCGAGACTTCCTTAAAAAATGAACATTGCACGTCCCAAAAATGAGCGCTTCGCACGAGACTTCCTCCACAAGTGAACAGTTGGGTTTCTTTTGGTTTGCCTTAGGGCGTTTGACTCAGGGCTTCACTTCTTTAGGGTCTCTTTTGGTTTTGCTT